AGCTGTGATCTTGGGCTCACAGTTCAAAGCTAGCCTAGGTCGAAAAATCTTTGAGACTTTTATCTCCAATTGCCCAGCCAAAAGCCAAAACTTGAGGTATTGTTCACATTGCAGAATGCCAGCCTTGAGTGAAACAAACTAAGTTTTATAATGCCCAGACCGTAAGTTCAAGCTCCAGTACTGACACAATCAATCAATAAAAAATATTCCCACATGTCTTACATTGAATGAATTAATCATCACATACAATTGTGATCCAACCTTACCTATCTGGTTCAAACCCAGACACCAGCGGGATAAAGTGCCAATATCAAGTCCTACCTTACTTTTCTCAGCACAAGGTACTCAAGTCTCATTGGCTCCTAGAAACACTCCTAGAAGGCACTCCTTCTCTTCCTCCCCTTTAATACCAGGTCCCAGATGCCAATATGAGTCCACGCACATGAATACAGTCACAGCTGTAATGAATTTCCAACAAGGCAACAAGGGCAACTCTCTGCTGCCAGCTACTTCTGTTTACCCAGTTCCCTCTGGAAATCTACTGAAAATTGCTCACCCACATATATCTGTGACCTGAAGTGTAGAACTGGACACAATGTATGCTAGTTAGCCATCTTCAAGGCCAAAGCCCCTGTGACACCATTCATTCCTTTAAGCCTCACAACCACCACCATTTTTATAGTACAAATTTATAGGCTACAGTGTATTCATTCAACAAATGTATATACTGTCTAATGATCAGATTGAGATAATTAACACATTCACCATTTTAACAAAATGTAAACTCAGAACCTGGGAACTGTCCCTTAGCTTTTCACTCAAGGCTGGCTCTCTACTATTAAAGCTACACCCCCATTTCCAGCTTTTTGCTGGTTAATTGGAGATAAGAGTCTCACTGACTTTTCTACCATGGCTGCCTTTGAACCTCAATCCTCAGATCTCAGCCTCCTAAGTAGCTAGGATTACAGGAATGAGCCACCACTGCCCAGCAACATTTTTTAAATGTTTGAATTACTCCTATCCCATACATGAAATAGATTGTATGTCAGACGGGGAATCCAAGACCTTCTAACTGCAATTCTGGAGGTGTCTTTGCCTTTTTCCTCTACACAAAGCAAGAGTACACCTTTGTTTTGGGTCCACTCCACCTAATTTTGGGAAGTTGCCCTGCTGGCATAGTGTAGGAAGCTGAGTGGGAGGATAAACATTACTGAAGTCAAGACAGTGGGAAACTTTCCACTTTGCCCTCTTGCTAATGGAGTGTTTAGAATCCATCATCCTGAAACAAAAGCAATGGAGCAAGGGTTAGCTGCGGGTTTACCTCCCACCTCTACTATTTTGGGCTTTCTATGTATACTTGGAAACAGAAAACCACCAGAAATATGAAAAGCCCCTGGCCTAAAATATCTCCTGCATCTGTTGGCCACAAAGATTTGGGCCTGCATGATTGCTGGGTCTTCCCACTTTTAATCTGAAAAAAAAGTAAAGATAAAATGCACTACTTGCCTCTAGCTTACAGAACTTTGCCTTGTGGAACATTGTGGCACATATCTGGAATTCCAGTACTCAGAAGAGCAAGGCAGGAAGATTACAAGTTTGAGGCCAGCTTACACTATTTAGTAAAATACTTTCTATAAACATCAAGGCTGGGCTGGGAAGGTGGCTCAGTGGTAGATTGCTTGCCTCGCATGCATGAGGCCCTGGGTTCGATTCCTCAGCACTATATAAACAGAAAAAGCTAGAAGTGTCGCTGTGGCTCAAGTGGTAGAACACTAGCCTTGAGCTAAAGAGCTGAGGGACAGTACCCAGGCCCAGAGTTCAAACCCCACAACTGACAAAAAAAAAAAATCAAGGTTCATACCTATAGTCCTAGCTATTCAGGAGGTTATGTTATAAGGATTGGGGTTCAAAGGCAGCCCGGGAAAGGAAAGTCCATGAGATTGTTATCTCCGATTAACCACCAAAAATCTGAAAATGGAGCTTTGGCCCAAGTGATAGAACACTGTCTTTTTTTTGCGGGGGGTAGGGGGGGAGAGGGGGCCAGTGGTGGGGCCTGAACTCTGGGCCTGGGCGCTGTCCCTCAGCTCTTCAGCTCAAGGCTAGCGCTCTGCTACTTGAACCACAGCGCCACTTCCGGCCTTTTTTTTGCTTATGTGGTGCTGAGGAATTGAACCCAGGGCCTCAGGCATGCAAGGCAAGCGCTCTACCACTGAGCCACCTACCTAGCCCTAGAACACTATCTTTGAGGGGGAAAAAAGTCTTAGGAACAGCACCTATTCCCTGTATTTAAACCACAAGACTGGCCAATAAAAAAATCAAGAGTCAGATACCAGTGGCTCATACTTGTAATCCTAACTAGGACCTCAGGAGGCTGAGAACTGAGGATTGTGATTCAAAGCCATCCCAGAGAAGGAAAGACTCTGAGACACTGCTTTCCAATTAACCAGTGGTAGAATACCTGCCTAGCAAGCACAAAGCTCTAAGTTCAATTCCAAGTATTCCCACAAAAGGGAAGATGGTTGGAGATGTAGCTCCATGGTAGATACACTGGGTTTGATCCACATCACCAAAAGAATTCCCTTTCTCAAATATTTTATTAAACTGCATTTTTTTTCCTTGTAAATCCTAATGCCTCTGACATATCTTAGCTGGTCAGTTTTTAGCACCAACACTTTCCCAGGGCTTATCATGAGCCTTTTCACCAAGGATACTACATACAGCAGTTTGCTCTAAAAAGAAACCCAGCTGGGCACTGGTGGCTCATGCCTGAAATCCTAGTTACTCAGGAGGCTGAGATCTGTGGATCTCAGTTTGAAGCTAGCCAGAACAGGAAAGTCTGTTAGACTCCAATTAACCACCAGAAAACTGAAAGTGGTGTTGTGGCTCAAGGTGGTAGAGCACTTGCCTTGAGCACAATAGCTCAGGGACAGCACTCAGGCCCTGAGTTCAAGCCCCACAACAGAAAAAAAGAAGGCCTGGGAATGTGGCTTAGGGTAGAGTGCTTGCATAGCATGCATGAAGCCCTGGGTTCAATTCCTCAGCACCACATACACAGTAAAAGCCAGAAGTGGCACTGTGGCTCAAGTAGTAGAGTACTAGCCTTGAGCAAAAAGAAGCTCAGGGACAGTGCTGAGGCCCTGAGTTCAAGCCCCAGGACTGGCAAAAAAAAAGAAAGAAAGAAAAGAAATTCAAACCTTCCTTCTTACTCTTCCAATGAACCTCCAGTTGTGTAACTACTTCTGTGGCACAACTTGCAGATTCCTCAGCTTCTTAATGATCTCTGTTAGGTACAGACATATCTCAAAGCCTGGCCCATAAGTGTCTAAGGGTCAGCATCTTAAATGCCCCATCTTGCAGGGACCACCAGAAGTTGACTGTGTATCAGGACACACAGAGCAAACCACTAAGTAATCAAACTCAATCAAACAACCTGCAGGCACTTGAACAGTTCACAGGTTCTGCCCAAAACAGACAGACCACATGTGCAGATTCCAAACCAATTCCCAGGAGAGCAGTTACTATCCTGTTTGACTCCGGTTAGGTTAGATCAGTCTTACATAGGTCCTCATACTGGATCTACACAGAGGATTTGGGAGATAAATCTACTGGAAACAAAAGTGTAATTGTATAGTGGTGGCCTATGCCTATAATCCTAGCTATTCAGGAGGCTGAGATGTATAGTTCAGAGATTCTTACCTCCAATGGTAAGCCAGAAGTGGAGGTAGGGCACTAACTAGACTTGAGCAAAAAGCCAAGGGACAGCACCCAGGCCGAGTCCAACCCCCAGTACTGGCAGCAATAAAATAAAGGTTTAAGCATTGGGACATATTTGGCAAGGATTTCATTTTTCACCACCATCTTTTAGCCAAGAAGAGAAAAAAAGTGAATTATCACTCCACTCATTGCCTGCCATTCTCCTGGATGTATACTTTGAAACAAAGGGTTGGCTTGCTTTCTCTCTCTCTTTAGAGATGTTTATTATTCTTTCTTTTACTCCAAGCCTCCTGCCAACCAGCCGAAATAAAAACCTCCACATGAAGAAGGGGAGGGAAGAAGGTTCCATAGCTCAGGCAGCTGTGGTCACTGCAAAAGCCAAGCTAGGTGAGGTTCCTTCACCAGAGTGGCCCAAGCCCCAGCTCTGGATTTAACTCCCTGAGGACTGGGCAACTTACACCAGGAAGCAGGCAGGTCTTTGTTCCACACTGAAATAGAATTCAGTGGCATGTGAAGTCAACCAATGATCCTGAGGATGAACTGCCTTTGACCTAAGCCATAGTTAGCATGCTAAACAACAACAAAATCAGTGGAGCAAAGGTGCACCACTTCACAGCTGTCATAAGCAGAAACTAAGACAAAAAACTTTAGTCAAGCAGTTTGAAGCCAGCCTAGACAGGAAAGTCCATGAGAGTCTTATCTCCAATTATCCATCGAAAAGCCCAAAATGGAGCTGTGGCTCAAGTAATATGAGACAGTCTTGAGTAAAAAAGCTAAGGGACAGAGCCCAAGCCCGGAGTTCAAGGCATAATACTGGCACAGACAACCCCCCATTCTACCCCCCATAAAAACACTATTCAAATGCTAACGTTAATTCCAAATTCTTTAGGATGTGCTGGGGCCATTCTTTGGTCCTCTAGAGGTCATCTTGTGGCAGACAAGGGATGTTGAAGTCCTCTAACATTACAGACAGGTCAGATTGGCCTTTAGAATAATCACCTGCTTATTAAAGGTGACTATAAAGCCAAGACTTGAAGGCCCCTGGCACTGTTTCGGACCATGGTTTTAAGGTGAAAACCACTAAAGAGAAAAGTCCCAAACAGCTGGTCGCCTCTATCACTTTCCAAGTCGACTGATCCATGTAGCAAAGCATCAGAAAGACTTTAGATGTCAGAAATCTTGGGGTGAGAGTCGTCCCAAATCTCCCACCCCTTCACTTGCCCCTGTGATGGTAAAGGACAGAGACACCCTATCAGGATATCAGTTCATGGAAGCTTTCCACTTACTTCTCATAGCGCTGATGAGCGCATTGCCGTCTTTGATTACATCTTTGATGAATTTGTTGGTCCTCTCCAGCTCCTGCTCATAACATTTGAGCCTCTCCCGGAAATCGGGGCTGTCCAGGTAGCAGTCGCTGAACTCCAGCGGGGGGTGCCCCATGATGGTGATGGTGGGGCTGGAGTGAAGGGGGCGGGGGGGGGGGGGGGGGGGGGAGAAAAGACACAAAGACCGAGGGAATCAGTGGTGCTGTAGGGGAAGCAGGCCGGATAGACCGCACTCAGAACCCGTTTAAGAAGCCTCTTAGGCTCCCTCCCTTTTGGAGGACTGGTACCTGTTCCTAAGAAAGTCCCGGGGAGCGTTGAATGGTGCGCTGGAGGAGGCACGCTCGGCCCGAAGGTGGCTTCAGGTGAGGGGAAGCACGACTTCCCTAAAACAGTCAGATCCAAGCAGGGTGCTCCCTAGCAAGCAGCATCGCCTCCGCACTAGGCAGTAAAACACACACACACACACACACACACACACACACACACACACACACACACACACACACACACACACACACACACACACACACACACACACACACACACACACACACACACGGCCTCTTCAGAACCACCCGGTCCTTTCAGTGACACCTGGGCCCGCCCAGAGGTGTAGGCAGGGGGGTGATCGCGGGCGCTTGGTGCCACCTCTCCTCCCTGCTGGGCTCTCAGGGTTCCTCTGCTCCCCAACAGACTGCAGATTTCCTTCGGCGAACTCCCAGGGCCACCAGGCTTTCACTGTTCCCTCCCCCTTCTGAAAGCCAGAGCCTCCGCCCCGCCCCGCCCCGCCCAGCGAAGTACAAATCTCCAGTCCCAGCCCTCGAGCTCCCCCTTCCTCGGTCTCGCGGATCGGTTGGTTTCCTTACCCCGGCCGGCTAGCTGACTACAAAGCTTCCTTCCTTCCTAGTCCACTGGAGCCAGCCTGCGGTCCTGGTAGTCGCGTGAAGGGTTAAACCCAGGCGGTTCCTCCATAGACTCTGAAGCAGAGCAAGAAGAGAATGAAGAGCGCGCCAGGCACAATAGCTGCGGTAGCCTGGCGCTTCCCTGCGGAAACTGGGGAGCAAGTCAGCGCCCTAGGACTCCAGCTGGAAAGCGTGGCGGCCTGGGAGATGTAGTCTTTCCGACCGCACGCCCCGTGACTCCTCCCTGCGATCTCCTCGCCACCCCTCCAGGGCTGCCGCACTCCCCCCAGCCAGTCCCAGCCAGCCTCAGACACTGGGGCAACGCCTAGCCCCCAGGGCCTAGGAAGTTTCCACCCATAGAGAAAGAACCTAGGAGTGGGTGTTGGGAGCCTGGCTCTCAGTTCCCATTATTTACTAGGATTGGAAGTTCCTTTCCCCGTTGCTCCCCTGCCTCTTTCCACCCTCCCAGAAATCTACCAACTTATTTTCCTTTCTTTTCCTATTTTTCCTGGTCTAAGAATTTAATTCCCATAGGCTTAGGTCCTATTGTAGGATCTCTGTAAGACTCAAGACCTGTAACTAAAGAAAAGAAGGCTGTAACTAGAAATTAACTTTTTTCTCAGTAGGACCTTAGAGCATGTTTTTCATTTTATTTTTATGCCTGTCCGTGGCTTGAACTCAGTCTCACAATCTCACTTGGCTTTTTCCACCTCAAGTCTAGTGATCTAGCACCTCAGCCACACTCCCACTTCCAGCTTTTTGGTAATGAATTGGAGGTTAGAGTCTCATGGACTTGCCTACCTGGGGTGCTGTAGTAGGAAGACCCTTACTCAGGCAGGCAAGCCCACCTAGTCGTCCGCAGTGACAGAGCCCACCGCAACAAAGTTGATATTAAAGAAGCAACTTTATTGAGAAGGTTCCTACACTGACCGGCCAGGCTCGGGAGCTGATACTGCGACCCCGAGCGGCCCACGTGCTTAGATTTTTAAAGGCACAAATCACAAGGTGAAGCCTGGTCACGTAGGGCGACCAAGGAGATTTTCACACACACAAAAGATTGCACAGTCATACCAGACCACACGCAGGTGGCCAGTGAGGTTACACTTTGTCACATAATGGATGTTTAAACCAGCCTATCACTTTTGGTTTAAATGACTCGAGAATTCAATGGTAAAGCAGAGCTTAAGGTAAACATGCACAAAGGAGTTTAGTGGAGTTTAACATAAGCATGTGAAAAAGGTAGAGTTTATAGTAAACTCGGGATGCCAGCCAGCATGCCAGCATGAGCCGGATTACTGGCTACCTGTCAGTCTTTAACAAAACAATGAAGGTGGGTTAAGTTAAGGGGAGGGGGACCTAGAGGCATTCTTTTCATTCCAAGAGCTGGGCTGGTTGGAGCCAAGGTTTTTTTTTCTATAATCCCTAAAACAAAAACAAAACCTGTAAAGAAGCTGTCCCAGCTGGAGTCTCCTCTCAGGGCCTAGTTCATTTCCCCCTTTGACTTGTTCCTGAGTCTTTTTCCATCGGGATGGAATCATATTGAGCTCTCATTCCCATTAATTTTACAACTCCAATCCTCTTTTGTATGAATGACATTAATGCATTAATTACACAAGGGCCAATTAACAGCATCAGGAGGATAAGAATCAAGGGCCCAACAGTGGCTGAAATCAGAGTTGTCATCCAAGGGGACCAATTGAACAATGTCTCATACCATCCTTGTGATTCCTTCCACTGTCTCTCCCTTTCATCCAACCTCTAACAGCTGCAAGGCTGTTTTTAACGACTCCAGTATGGTTAGCCCAGAAACAGCATTTTTCCCCTAATGCTAAACATAGTCCACCTTTTTCTAAAAGTAAAAGATCTAACAATCTCCGATTTTGTAACACTACTTCTGCCAAGGAGTTGAGGGAATCAGTTAGACTACTTATAGACTCATGTATCTGACGTAAGTCAATGTCCACTTGTGTGGCAAGGGAACCAAAATCTACACTTTCTTTGATCAGTGCAGCTGCCCCTAGAGCTGAAGAGCCAATGATCCCTACTCCTACCACTAATGGGGCTGGGAGGGGGACAGCCCTTTTAGCTCTGCTCTCATCTGGCAAGAAGTGTTGAAATCCTTCTTGTCCTTCATAATAGTCCATTTTAGGAATAATATGGGCGGTTACACACAACTCGTTCCAGGTAAAGTTTTTGAACAAGGCTAAGTTTAAACAAGGCTTGAGTCCTGACTCGCATGCAAACCATATTCCTTTTGGGGCTTTGAGAAAGTTGGAAAATGAGGTAGGAATAATAATTTGTTTACATAAGTCCCGATATGAGGAAGTTAGGTTACCTTGGGGGGTTGCTATGCATAGACCCTTTCCTCGTATGTCCCCTAAAGTTAACCTAGGAACCTTTTCCCAGCTACATGAGTCAAATGAGCTTTCATTTTTGACATCTTGGTACTGCTTTCCTATGGAGAGGTTGGTACCTATTCCCAGGTAATAGGGAGGCTGAGGGTCTAAACAGAGCCAACAATCCTGAGTAACATTCGGGTCTGATGAATTTAAAAAGTTAAAGACAGAGCTAACCAAAGGCAGGAAAAGGTTAGTAACTATCCATTTGGTCCCTACCAGCTCTATCATAAGCTCCAATTTCAAGACATACTCATACCATTTGCTACATACTTATACTTTCTAAGGTTTGTCTTCTTTCCTTTCAAACATTTAAAGACAATCCTTACTTTTTTTTAAATCTTTTCTTATCCAGGATACCAATTTTTCCCCAATTCCTTTCCCAAGGCTTTCTTTACCACCCTCTTTTTCAATTTCTTGAGAATCTTTGTGGCTAGAGTTTAAAACTGCCCAATTTTCCTTTGACTTGCAGAACCTTTGCCTTAGAACAGCCTTAAGGCACCACTGTGATGCAGAAGCTTGCTAGACTTTAAGGCTAAGAGTACTACCTCCATTGATAACACACAAACTAGGCTGTGATCATAGAGTGGATTTTCAGTCACTATGCACTGAAGTGCCTAAGGCAAGCAAGCCAGTGATATCCTTGTCCCCAATATCCACTGTGGGAATAGAGAGGGTTTCTGGATATCACCCAAAAGAATGTCCCACAAGATCTTAGATTTAGCAGCTGTCAACCAGGAAGAAGACTCAGGTTGGAATCAGGCCGGAGTTCCTCCAGGTGACTGTCAGGCCGTCGTTGAACTTTACCCATTAGAGTATGCAGCAGCAGCAGCAAGGTCTCTCAGTGGCTCCAAGGGACTGTTACCTCATGCTGGCTGCAAATTTCTACACAGACTGGTTAAGGATACATTGCATAGGCTTGACAGGCTTTGATCCTGCTGGTTTTTAAGATCTTCAAACAATAGCCCAGGACAATTTACCAAAATCACAACTTTTTTACTAACCAGATATTTTTGTAAATAGACACAGAAGGCTTAGAAGGCTTAGTCTTGTAGTCATCTCTGACAGATGCAGTCTCCACACCTTGCACACCTACAACTGTTAACACTATTCTTTATGCCTTTTTCTAAAAAAAAATTATTTTATCTATTTTGCCTCATTTCTCCAAAACTGACTCTGGACCCTTGATCTTAAAAAAGGGGGTAGAAGGGTGAAGGTCCATCTTCTGTAACTTCTTCAAGCTGACTTCAGGGGTGTTGATCCTACCTAGCCAGGAACCTATAACCTTAGCCTATTTTACAAAGAGGCCATCAGGGTTATGTGTCATTAAGAACAATATTTAACTTTTGACAACTGCACAGACCTTTTCTCCGGCTACAGCAGTGTAGCTTGTTTAGCACTCTGGTTTGCAAAAGCATCTTTCTAGATGGCTTAGGAATGTGATCTCTAATGATCCCAACAATGCCTAAGTTACCTTTGCAGGCCTTTAGACAGATAAATAGAAACACACTCTCAGGTTTACAAACTTTTTCCTGAGCAGATGAATTTCATGTAACTAGTATCAGCTCAATTAGAGCTGCCAATTAGAGCTTTCGGCACATAAAGGGGTTGAGATTTAAACTATCCCCCACATTTTATAACATTAGCTTTTTACTATCACAGAGGACTGGCAAGTTCCTGTCCCTTACAAGGTAGATAGTCATGGACATTAGGCATGCTTACAAACTCTTGCCATGACCTCCTGGCTCTGACCAGTTTTGAAAGGCCACGCACAAATGACTCTAGGATCTGACATTTCTGCCATCCAAGCAGTGGCTTACTGCCTCTGGATGCTCCTCCATTGCTTTTGTCCCAGGAGTGTCTTCTCCACATTGGGATAAATGCCTCATTGGCATTTCCCTTTAGCTGGTCGCTGGACTTGAACTCGGGGCCTGAGCACTGTCTCTCAGCTCTACAGCTCAAGGCTAGCACTCTGCCACTTTGAGTCCCAAAGCAACTCTGCTTGCTCTTTCAGCACTTTGCTGGCTGAGTAGAGGTGACAGTCTCACAAGGACCTTTTTCTGCCCAGGCTGGCTTTGAACCAGTTTGCAGATCAATGAGTCTTATAAAAGGCCACTTTACTCCAATTAAAAGCAACAAGGTGGTCAACATAGAAGTAGCTTTTAAGCATGCTCTTACCTGAAACTTATTAAGAGTCAAAGTTACATCTGACAAACTTGTAAGTATCCTCTGTGCTTTGCTCTGGGCTTGCTGGAAACTTAAAAAACCTATAAAAGCAAACTGGAATAGCAATTATTTTGGTAATTCTAATTTTTCCTTTGTGCACATTGAGGCCAATGTTAAGAACAATTTTACTTTTAAACTTTATATCTAAAAATCCATTCCTAATTTTTAAGCTTCTTATTAATCTCCTTTAATATTCTATATTTAGTTTTCATTTGCATTTTGAAAAGATCCCTTGAAATCTTGAGGCCAAGTGTCACTCATTGCCTCTTGGCTGCTTGTTTTAAAACAGACACACATTAACATTTTTAAACTCAAATGACAATTTTTCCTTAATGCGAAAATAACAATCATGATAACTGAACCAAAAAGCTAGACCTAGCGTCTTTATGACTTTTAAAAACATCCTAATTGTAAAACATTAAAAGCAAGTCACATTATACAAATAACTTTTTTTTTTTTTTTTTTTTTTTTTTTTTTTTTTTTGGGGGTCCGGTCGAGGGGCCTGA